CACGCAGGCTTGTTTCGGTGGCGAGGATTCAATTGAACTCGTCTCAGTTGAGCAGACAGGCGAACGACAGCAACTGAATGCTGTTGCTGGAACACCGTATATAAGCTACGCAAGAGTTAGTCTTTTTATGCGTTTTGTGCTGTGTGAATGCAGTACAAAACGCATTTTGTCACGGGGTTGTGTGTGTGTGTGTGTGTATGTCCGCAGCAACTTGTCCCCAACTTTCAACTCGGGAACCACAAAAGCTAGGAAGCTGAAAATTTAGGGTAACGTTCCTTACCCACGTTTAACTCCGCAAATTTAAATTCAGCTTCCCCGTACCCGCGGATAACACGTATGGCTCCGTGAAAGTTTTTTACGAGTAAATTGATATCTCGGGAACCACGGAGTCTGGGAGACTGAAATTTTAGGGTAATGACCCCCTTTCCACACCCAACCTTGCCCATTCAAATTCAGGGTTCCCGCGCTCTTGAGTATCACCTACGGTCTCGTGAAAATTTTGGCGGGTAAACTATTAACTTGGCAATCACGGAAAGATATTCACCCTTCAAGGTTTTGAATTCAGCTTTCATGTGCTGGTGCGTGAAAATTGCAACTGTTTTCCAGTGTTTGAACTATTTTTGCATAGACAAAAAGTACAGAGCAGTGAAAATCATTAATAAGCAATCGTTCGATGAGTTGAATTGCACAATACGCATAATCGCACCGGCTGGCCTGGTGCGCGTTGCTATTTTTTTACTTAACTACAGATTTTTTTCAATGCAGTAGTATTGAAGTGGTGGGTAAGTCTTTCCAATTCGACACTTTCAAGACATACTCAGTTGGGTGTAGTATTTTTGGTGTGCTAGGATTTTTTACGTTTTTCTGCCGTAGCTATTGACAGTGTTGATGGGCTAATGCATTTTTGAAGAAACAAACCGATGTTTCGCAAATATTTCAAATTTTCTAAAATTTGGCAAAATTGTACAAGTATATGTGAGCATTTCCAGTTACTTTGACCAATGCTGCATTGCCGGTGGCCATCCTACTGCTGACCCTGACGCTGGTTTTATGTTCTCAAGTTTAATCCCTTTTTTTTAGTTTTTGTTTTTTTAAAAACGTAAAAATAAAAAAATAAAGAGTTACAGAAATATTTTTTCCAAAATTAGTGTTAAATCGATGTTAGTAGCCCATGGATCTTTGTGATAGATCTTTTACTAACTCACCGTTTGGTGGAATTCGCGGTTTTTCTAGGTTCCAGCGGAAGCTTTGCGAGCTGTTGGTATTGATCTCGAAAATCCTGGTGAAATAACGGAAGAACAGTTGAACAGCATTTTGGCTCTGGCTGGTCCAAGTACATTTCAGCCAGATTTGAAACATCATCAAAATCATTATCAACGACAAATTCATCAACAGCACAATCAAGAGAACTGCCAGCAGCGGGATCGCCCTCAAAATCAACATCGGCAGCCTCATCAACAGGAACATAATTATCAGCATTATCATCATCAACAACAACAAAATCATCAACAAAACCCAGAGCAGTATCATCATCGGCCTGTCTATGAAAATGACATACCGTCAGTGCTATCGCCATTGCCAGAAAACGATGCGGTTGATAAATTTAGCCTGGTTTTTCTCGATGATGGCTCCTTGAAACTTTCGCATCCGGCGTTGCAGAGGGATTTCCTCGTATGTTTTGTCATATTTTTTCAGTAGAATTTGAGTATTTTAGTTCGACATTTTAATTTTTTGTCAGTTTGTATATATATAATACATAAATTTACTAATGTTCTTTCAGTAGAATTTGAGTATTTTAGTTCGATATTTTAATTTTTAGTCTTTTTTTATGTATGTAGTACATAAATTTACTAAAAATATATGACATTCCTCACAAATTTTTTCTGAAGTAGCTGGCTTGTTGAAAACAAGCTAAACTGGGTCATGAAAATGGCAGAATACAAGCGACACCACGGAACGAATTGGACTTCTTGATAGACATCTACAATTCCATCACGCACTCGCGAATAATAAAATTTCTGAAATTTCTGAAAAAAAAAAACTATTTTTGAGTTTTTTTTTTCAGTTTTCGGCACACCAGCTAGCGCCAGAGAATATCGATGTGCATAATTTTACTGATGTCTGACAAGTATTGGGGGAGGGGAGAGGGGAGGGACGGATGGGGAGAGGGAACAGGAGAAGGGGGCATTAAAATCGTAATTTGAAGGGGTAGTGAAGCTTGGCATCATATATTTCTGTAACATTGTCGTGCACATAATCTAGAACTGCATAGATCGCTGTTAAGAATGAAATTACGCACAATTTGTTGCCTAGGAAATCGGTAAAACATCATGCGGTAAAACGCCATGCATGTCTGAAACACGGCGAAGGATCGAACACATCGTAGTTTAGAGGAATAATAAAATTTGTGAAATATTTGAAAAAAAAATAATTTTCGAGTTTTTTTTTTCAGTTTTCGGCACAGCAATTAGCGACGGAGAATATCGATGTGCATAATTTGACTGATGAAAATTTGGACAGGATTCTTCAGATAGCAATGGAATCGTGAGCGTTTTTTTCTTCTCATGCAAAAAAATCAGAAAGCGAGGGAATAAATTCCATTCTTCTGTGATTTGCTTTGATCAGAAATTGTTTCGAGAGCCTCTTGCCACGTGAATTCGATCCTTTTTGCATATTTTCTTAGTATTTCGTAAGGGGAAAAATACTGCCGGTTGATTTGGTTTGATGTCTTACGTTACCGCGAAGCGGTTTTTTTTTATCTTTCGTCTTTCATTGTTTTTTTGTTCCTTTTTATGCGTTTTTTGCATCTATGCAATGCAAAAACGCATATTGTCGAGGGGTTGTCCTGTGTGTGTATGTGTGTGTGTGTGTGTCTGTCTATGTCTGTGTGTGCGTCTGTAACGAGCTTTCATCTCGAGATCCACAAAAGCTACAAGACTGAAAATT